TGGACATTACAATGTGTGCAATTTTAAATAAGGCAGTCTTTCTATTTTGTAAACTACGTCATTGTTAGGTCTTACTAAAACAGTCCTTTCCCTCTGTCAGTTTTTTGGCAAACCACCTTCTGTCTCTTTTCAACTTAGGAGTTGACCCATTAGTCAAAATCTGATGTGCTTTCTGTATCGTTCATTCCTCAGTCAAACTCTGGGGCAAATAAAAAGAAAAACAAGATACTTCCTCCTCTGAATTAATAGTTTTATTTTCATGTAGCTACAGTCCCTTTCTGGTTCTTAACAAAGTGAACGTAATTCTCACAGCATTTTTATTTTTGACAGTTTAGTGATTATGAGATATGGTCATATCCACTACAGTGGAATTAGCTCTTTCTTCTTAATTGTTTATAAAACACAGTACAAAATGTGGATGTGGATATTGAGAGATAGCTAAAGTTATTTTGGGGACTCTGGAATTTACTAATTACATACTGAAAACGTTACTGTGCATTTTCTGTGCTCTTTTAACTACCATAGTTGTTTATAAATAGTCTACTTTGGGTTTAAGTTCAAGGCTTTAACATAGAGTCAGGCATTATTTTAGGGGACCCAGGCGGCTCAGTCGGTGAAGCGTCTGACCCATGATCTCAGCTCAAGTCAGGATCTCAGGGTCGTGAGATCGAGCCCCACATCGGGCTCTGCGCTTAGCTGGGAATCTGCTTGAGATGCTCTCTCCCTTTCTGCCTTGCCCTTCCCTGCTGCACTCTCCTTCTCACTCTCTCAAATAAATAAGTAAAAGTAAAAAAAAAAAAGAAGAAGAAGAAAAGGAATTATTTCAACTGATTGGCTCCGTGGGTGGAAACAATTTACTTAGTTCATTTTGAGAGGGAAAGCCCTGCTTTCTCCTTTCCTTCCGGTTCTGCCAGGGATACCATCAACCTGTCTTCCTGGTGGTTCAGTTGAGAAGTAGCCTGGGTGTTAACAGACTTTTCTTCCAGTCCGGGCTTGTCACCACACACGGTGACATGTGAGGAGTTGCCTGACCTCTCTGGAGAGCTCTTGAGTTGCGCAGAAAGCAAGATGACTCATTCTGGGACACCGACCTGTCCACGAGGCTTGGTGACTGGTGATGGCTTCTATCTATAAAGATTGAAAAAGCCTCTTCCCAGAGGGGAGCTGTTCTGCGTATTCTGAAAGGAGTTTTGTTTGCTCTGAAATAGGTGCTATCCTTAGGAATCATTACATAGATACAGGGATGGCTCAGTGGGCCGTGAAGTGAGGGGCCGTTCTTTCCCCATCACACGCGGGTGAAATGTCCTTTCCTTGCGCCTGCGACGGCTGTGTGCGAGCCTGGGGTCACGTGGTATTTTCTTCTGGGTGCAAGGCTCCATGCGGCTGTCCTCTAGTCTGCACTTGGGTGAAATTACTGTACTTCTGCTCGTGGTACTATACGTGGACCAGAGCAGTGCACACTTTCTGGCCCAGGCCAGCCTCTTTTCTCCTGTTTGCCTTCAGCTCCTAATCTTCCGCTTGTTTCTCTGGAACCTTTTATCAAAACCCACGTGCTCGTTCCTGTACTTTCCCTGCTACCTGCTTTACACGGTGCCTCTGTCCTCTGTGCTGGAGGGAGATCTCCCAGGAGATGTGGATGCACACCACATTTGGGGACGACGTCGTTAAAGGAGGGACCTGTTGGCCAAAGGACACGTTCAAGTGACCGTCTACACACATGTACCCAAGTCACCTTTGCACCTTGTCATTGAGCCCCATCAAAGAAATACAGAAATGCCAAGAAACCTGTGCCCTGTCTAGGCCTTAGGGGCTTGTCCATATGGTAAAACAACAGAGAGTTTTCTGTGTGCTGCTGCTGAGACTAGATAGAAGGGCGTGCCAACCAATTCCTGACCATTGGGTGGAGCTGCCAGTTTCCCGACCATTTCTTGTTAATGTCAGCAGCGGTGGCCTTGGTCCCTCCACTGCACCTCTTCCTCCTGGTTCGTGTCTCATGATGTTCTTTGTGTCTGACACTGTTTCCTTTTCCCCCATCTGTGAGGTTGTGACGTTTTTAAAAAAGATTTTCATTATTTATTAGAGAGAGAGAGAGCACACAAGCTGGGGGAGGGCAGAAGGAAAGAAACTCAAGCAGACTCCCCAGTGAGCACGGAGCCCCACGGGGACTCAGTCTCACGACCCTGAGATCAGAGCCTGAATGGAAATCAAGAGTCAGACACTGAACCAGCCAAGCCAGCCAGGCACCCTGACGTTCTGACATTTTTATACACTTCTTACCACCGCACTCCGTTGATTGATCTCATCTGTTCCCTCGAGCCCAGCCATGGTCTCTGGGCAAGTGACTCAAGAGCCTTGCTCTCTCTCCTGACTCCCCGGTCCCTTTCCTGACCTCCAGTTTCATCTTCCGTCCTATTGCTGTACATTTTTACATGGATATCCTCTGGTTCTTCAAAAGCAGCACATTTTCCTAAGACCGTCCAGCTCCGTCACCTTTCCCTGGACGGACTTCTTTCTGTTAATGTCACACTTCTTCTCCAGGTCACCTGGGGTGCGGCACTTTACCTTTCCTCCTTTTTGGTGGTTATTTTGTTTTGTCTTTCTCCTGCTCGCAGTTACCAAGTCCTAATAAGTGACCCGATCAGAGTATCCCTTATATCTATTTGAGTCCCCTTTTACTACCTGTAGTCCGAGGGGGTTAAGGGTAAAGCCTTTCCAGTCATTTCTCCAGTGTCCACTGCTTGTAGGCTGACCTTCCAGGGATAGGGCACATCCTTGTCTTGGGCTGGCAGTGACTCTCCTGCCAACCAGACGACATGCAAACTACCCAGCTTGAGGCTCTGCTGTCTGGCAGCCACCCCTCTTCCTACCCAACTCCTTCCTTTGGACCTAGCATAACGGTAGCCCTGAAAATCTAGTGGTGAACCACGCAGTCTGCTCCTGCCCGAAGGAGTATCTGGGGAGGGCCTCCCTAAGAAGTCCTATTTGAGGGGCGCCTGGGTGGCTCAGTCGGTTAAACGTCCGACTCTTGATTTCGGCTCAGGTCCTGATCTCAGGGGTGTGAGATCAAGCCCCACTTCGGGCTTGGTGCTGAACGTGGAGCCTGCTTGGGTTTCTCCCTCTCCCTCTACCTCTCCCTGTCTGCACCCTTGTCTCGCTCCCCTACGCCCATCCCCCCACCCCCCACTCCTGTGCTCACTCTCTCTCTCAAAAGAAAAAAAGAAGTCCTATTTGAGATAAGATCTGAAGGCTATGGAAGGGGGCAGGAACCCACAGACAAGAAAGCCTGGCCTGCTTATAGAGCAGAAGGCCCTCCCAATGGAGAACAGTGCATAGACTAGAGAGAGGTATGAGATGTATCCATGCGGCAGAAGAAAGAGTTTGCCTTTTAGTCCAGGTGTAGTGTCAAGGACTTTCGAAGCAGAGTGATATGATTGGCTTATATTTTTTAAATATCACTTGGTGAATGCGTGGGTGGTTCAGTCTGCTAAGTGTCTGCCTTTGGCTCAGGTCATGGTCCCAGGGTCCTGGGATCGAGCCCCGTGTCAGGCTCCCTGCTCATCAGGGAGTCTGCTTCTCCCTCTGCCTCTGCCTGCCGCTCCCCCTGCTTGTGCTGTCTCTCTCTCTGACAAATAGATAAACGAAATCTAAAAAATTAAATATCATTTGGGAGAGAGGGGCAAGGTGGAAGCAAGGAGACCACTTAGGGGACAAGCTCTTGCCGTTGTCCAGACAAGATAATAGCTTGGACTAGATGACATGTTTCTCAGCCTCAGCCCTATTGACATTTTGAGCCAGAGAATTCTTTGTTGTGGGGGTCTGTCCTTTGTGCCAGAGGATGTCAGAGTCATCCCCGGCCAGTGTCTGACCACCTCCAAGTGTGACAACCAAGTATGTCTCCAGACATTACCGAAGGTCCCCAGGGGCAGAACCACCCCAGGCTGTGAGTCAGTGGGCCTGATGGTGGCAGTAGAGGTGGGTTTGAAACCGACAGTACTCACAGTCAACGGGAGCAGGGCAAGAGATGAGGGACTCAGTAGTGCTTCCTACATGTTTGGTCTGAAATCCTGGCTGATGGCGTCAGATTACTTTAGACTCCTGACACTGGTCTCTCTTGCCCCCGTGCCTGTTCTTGGAACTGTCCAGCCACCCTTGATGTCCAACCATCCTACCATTCTCCTCCTTTTCTTACCTCCCCTCCTGCAGGTCCAGCTTCAGTGCCATCTTCTTGAAGTCTTCTCCAGTCAGCCCACCACTGGTGATCTTTTCCCAGTGAATTTCTACAGTCCTGTATCATATCACCCCTAGACACTTTCTGGGTCCGTCAGCTTCTATAAACCCCCCCCCCCCCCGGGAAAGAAGGACGAGGCCCTCAGGGAGGGAGCAGCGTTGACGGATGCCTGAATTACATGGCTTTGCTTCTGTCTCTCTGTTCTCACTGGTGGCTGTAGGATTATCATCTCCCTCTGTTCATCATCTAACCGTAATCTGGACCCCAGAACTACTTCTTTTACAGGTGAGCCTCTGCTCAGATGGTCTGGAATTGTCACAGAATTGGGACACTTACTATATGCTGCCCTGTATTAGAATTAGTGATGTATGACTGTCATCTCCCCGTCAAACAAAGTGCCTGAGAGCAGGAAGGAGCTGTTACATACCTTTATCCCATAAACTGCCTGATGCCCAGCACAGTACTGATGACAAATTCAGTATTCAGTAAATGTTTGTTGAATGAATAAGTGAATGATTGGATCTGGAACTTTTTTTTTTTTACTCTTGAGTATAATGGCACTAAAGGAAAATTAGCACTTTTCTATCATGAACACATATAATTTTGATAATCAGAAAAAAATTTTAAATTGTTTATAATGATAGAGGATTAGCCTGTAGTCTGTGTCACTGCTGAAATGGATTGGCTTGTAAGGAAGAGGGCTTGGTTTTTGGCATTTATGGTCTGGAGCGGGCTCCGGTGATGAGATGTCTGCTCTGTTTCTATCTTGCAGCTCTGGTCGTCAGCACCACTTCAGCCGGATTTGCGCTGGCCCCAGGACCTTTTGACTGGTCCTGCTTCCTGCTTACTTCTCTGGGCACAGGCCTTGCGTCCTGTGCTGCCAACTCCATCAATCAGGTCAGTGGGTCACTTTTCAGCTCGATCGTGATATTATTGCTTTTTCCTAGACGGTAATATTATCACATTTTTTTAAAAAAGACTTCTCCAAACCACATACGCAAATGGAGAGGTTCCAGGAACTTGGGACACTGCATCTCTTGGAGAGGTCTCTGGGGGACAGAGCTGATCTGTCTCATCTCTTGAAGTGAATGGTTTTGGGGGAGAGAGCAGTCGTGTATTTGCTTCAACTGATGGGAGTCCCTGGGTTAGAAGCGTTTCAGAGCCGCCTGACTTTCTGTTCTCATCCGTTTCCGGCACATTCCCCTGAGCTTATCATTTTCTGTGTTCTTCTTTCTTTGGTTTGATTTGTTAGCACTTGTTTACATACACAAAAGTGTACTTTTTTTTTTAAGATTGATTTATTTCTTTCGGGGTAGGGGGCGGGCAGAGGGAGAGAGAGAATCCCAAGCAGACTTCCCGCTGAGCATGGAGCCCGATACAGAGTTTGATCGAACGACTCTGAGATCATGACCCGAGCCGAAACCAAGAGTCGGACGCTCAATCGACTGTGCCACACAGGTGCCCCAACAATGTATTTTAAACAAGGATATCCAGCTTTTTAAAAAATCAGTAATTCAATATTCAGTAAAAGTGGTGTATAGAATCACAGAATATATTAAAAAATTAATGAGCGTATTATTTTTAATGCATCCTTTTGTCCCCCTTTTATTTTACACATCAAAATAATTTTCTATAAATTAGTTCTTCCCTACCCCCCCACTAAGCCTGGTCACTGTGGTGTGTGCCCCCACGTATCCTTTGTCATCGGATACCAGAGTGAAGAAGTCTTGGCTTAAACTTAGGGAAAGTCTTTTCCATCACCAGAACACCCAGGAGGAGTTGGCCCAGTTTTAAAACAGGAACTCAGCTTATGAGCAGGAAAACAGCGTGGCCGAGCGGATGATATCATTTGGTATTCTGTAAAATGTGAGAATTTTAATTTGATGATTCCTCGGATCATTCTGCTTTCACAGTGTATTATCAGCTGTTCGGGGAGGGATCAGTCTATTTCAAATAAGGTTTATTTTTTTTGTTACCGTTTTTGTTTCTTTTTTTAATGTCCAGACAGTCTTACAGGGAGATCCAACCCATCCTGCCACACTCCAAATGTACCGTCCCAGCTCGTAAACCACGGTGCGGTTCTTCCAAGCCGTTCTTCCTTCTGCTCCCCTCCCTTGTTGCTTGGCCAAGGGAAGAATCCTGGCTTCACAGTGAACATGTTTTTAATGAAATTTTGAATATAAAGCAATACAAGCAAAGTGGATTTGTGTTGCTATTTCGGGTTTATTTTTCAAAACATTTTTAAAATTACTACTTTTATTTAGTTATAAATTTAGGTCATAAGAGTAAGCCAGAAACACATTTTAGCTTTCAGGCCCCTTTTTTCTGTTGAAGAGCTGTACTTATCCTTGAGATATTAACTGCTGTCTCCTGCTTAAATTAAATAGATTTAAATACAAATTTAAAGTAAAATTACAGACATTTAGAAAAATAGCAGCAACTAACTCATAAGCACCAAATGGTTCAGAAATCCCCAAACAGTACAAAAAATAATACAGAGTTGCCTTGAGTTTGCTGCCCTCCCCCTCCCATCCCCCACCCTTTAAAAAAAAGGTAGTTCAAGATTTTATCATGGAAAAAAAGTCTGTCACTAGCAAGAAAATATCTACAGAGAAAAACACGGAATGAATTACATTTAGGCAGAAATTTCCAGAAACTGAACATAAGCTAAGGTGTTAGAAATTTTAAAAGTTTAGGGGCGCCTGGGCGGCTCAGTGGGTTAAGCTTCTGCCTTCAACTTGGTTCATGGTCTCAGGGTCCTGGGATCGAGGCCCACATCCGACTCTCTGCTCAGCGGGGAGCCTGCTTCCGCCCCTCTCTCTGCCTGCTTCTCTGCCTACTTGGGATCTCCGTCTGTCAAATAAATAAATAAAATCTTTTTTAAAAATACAGTTTAAATGCGTTTGGCTGCTTTGTTTTATCATCAGTAGGAAGTGTATTTGCTGACTTAGGGTGACCTAGGGTGTGTCCGTCTCAAACTGCTGAGAAGAACCAGACTACGGGATGGGATTCTTTCTGGAACCGACACATCGCATTGTCTGCCTCTTCTGTTAGCATTTCCTTCTTAGGCTGGCTCCTGCGCTCACGCAGCTCTCCTGTTCTTTCTTCCTCTGGAACACTTCTACGTCCTCCTCCACGGTCGCTCGTCCTCCCCAGGCGTCTTCAGTCACATGGGCCCTTAACTTCTTCATCTTCTTCTTCATCTTCTTCATCTTCTCGGGTACCTCACTTGGGTGCCTCCTTCCACTTGCCCTGGGCTCCAGTTCCCTTTGGAAACATCACAATACTTAAACATCTTAATGATCACCGTCATTGTTGAATCCCACTGTTATTATGGTATCAGTAACCTTCCCAAATTACAGTATTTTCTCAATTTTGTTGGAAGGATTTTAGTTCTAGTATTATGAAGCAGTTACATAAAATTAAAGGAAGGCAAGAACATTTTCATTAGGGCCTTTAATTAGTATAAGCAAAACAAAGAGCACTGGACAGCAAACCTTTAATTGGGTTTTGAATAGCAGTTAGATAAAGAAATAGTCGTTGGTGAAGGCAAGAGCTTCCCATTTTTTTAGGGAGCTGACATCCAACTTAAAAAATGCCTATATGTGGTTGGTATGGATAAAAGTGTTTCAGCTTCTGAGTTCTATGGGAAAAAAAATTTCTTTCTGTCTGCATTTATAAAAGGATTCGAATAACATTTCTTGTTTTTTTAAATACTTCTTTTAGCTCTTCTTAGCTCTGAGTGCTGCTTCTTTGGACCCTACTTCTGTGATCTCTCTGTGAAAGTAGGAAAAATAAAGCTCTGGAAAACAATTCCTACATTTGTTTTAAGGGGAGAAAAGGAGCTTCAGCTTCTAATTTATGAAATAATGACTAGTGTAGTGTATAAATACATATATATGTGTGTGTGTGTGTGTGTGTGTGTGTGTGTGTATGCATGTATATGGAAACCACTAACATTAAATGTAAGAAGGAATTACATTCATGTTTTGTAATATATACGCATGCCTCATTTGAAACCATAGCGAGGCCTGAAAGCAGGTGTGCCTTCAAAGGATGAAAGCCATCCATAAAATTTAGCAACTGAAAGATAAAATGTGATAAATGGCTTGGACTGATCAAATCTAAGAAACAAGCGACTCACAGTGAAAATCTGAGTAAATTCAAGTGGAATGAATTAAAAAAAAATTGAAAAAGATAAGACTTGTCAGAAAATTTTCAGCGTAATTGAGTATCGGACATAGTAGATATTGTTATAATAAATTGTATTTGCGATTATTTTACTTACGTTACATGGAGATGATTTTTCTGTTTTAGAGGTTAGGAGTGGATGTCAATAATACATTTCTGCAGGGTCCATTTCATTGGTGATCTGCTGTTCCCCCGATGGACGCGCCCCCACTTTCTCAATCTGTTGTCGCAGCTTCGGGCTTCCGAAGCCTCCGCACTCACCTCTGAGTGTTTTCAGAGGACGAGGTAGTAGAAGAGACATGGATGAGGTGAGGGCTGGCACCCAAAACATATATGGGACTAATTGCACTTGGAATGGAGGGTCTTAACAAAGTAACAAATTGTTGACATTCGTACAGTGTTTTAGAGCTTATGAAGCATATTTACAGAAATTATTATTTAAACCTTACTACCCTGTGAGGCAGGTGGCATTACTGACATTTCTATTTGCAAAACATTCTGTTTTGCCTTTGAATTATTGTTCTTTTTAAAATTTATTTGTTAATATTTATTTGTTAATAATAAGTATTAACAAATTAATATAAACAAATAAATTATTAACACACAGAGGGAGAGGGAGAAGCAGACTCCCCGCTGAGCTGGGGGCCCAACACAGGGCTCGATCCCAGGACCCTGACTCATTATTGAAGCCAAAGGCAGCTGCGTAACCCATTAAGACACCCAGGCGCCCCTGAATTATTCTTTTTAAAAGCAACATTTAAAGAAATGTGTTACGCAAATAATGTTTCCATTGCAGGTTAGTGAAAAAATATAAATAAGCAAAAATAACAATAACATTCTTTATTTTATTTCCCTTTATTTCCCTTGTACCAGGCACTGCTCTGCATTTCAGAGTTACAGCAGAGGACAAGCGCATACCTCTGGCTTTGTGGTGCTTATATCCCCCTGCCTAGATAGACTCACTTGTTAAATTTTCATTTTTTTATTGTAGGCTTTTTTTTTTGACACAAACAATCTCTACATATATATTAATTTCTCACAGAAGTGATTTATGTGTATAATACATATAGCTTCTATATGTCTTCTCCTTTAAATAATGTATCATAAACATTTTCCAATGTCAATATTCACTGTAACATGATTGTATATAGGTATATAGTGATTTATTTAATCAGTCTCTCCTTATTTGATGTTTTAGGGATTTCTACATTTTTGCCCACATAAATAATGCTGAGCCAAAATTCTCATAGCTCAATATTTGAATGTGTCCTTAACTAAAGTCTTGTGTTAAAAGATATGTGGCTTTTAAAATAAACAGGTAAGGGGCATGTGGGTGGTTCAGTCAGTTAAGCGTTCGATTCTCGATTGGCGGCTCAGGTCGTGATCTCAGGGTCGTGAGATCGAGCCCCACGTTGGGTTCTGCACTCAGCATTGGGAGTCTGCTTGAGAGTCTCACTCACCCTCCCTCTGTCCCCACTCTCTCTCTCTCTGAAGAGAGCTTTAAAAAAAAAAAAAAAGTTAAAAAGTTAAAATCAGACAAGCTATGTGCTGCAAGTGCGGAGAAATTCCTTCCCAGAAGGTCTTCTCTTTGTGCGTGTGCTTGGTTTTAAATCACTGTATGCTTCCAGATGGCACGTGTGAAGGGCTTACCGCTGACCCTGCAAGTTAGGAGGTCTGGGCCAGGTTTGTAGGGAACCTTAGGTGCA